TCCCAGAAGACCGTCAGAGATCGCTGACCTGCCCATTAGGTGGGACAATGTTATGGCTAACGATGGTTATATTGTTGATTAGCTTGCATTGTTTGCTGAGTTGTAAAATAAAAGCAGAAAAACATCCAATCCTATCAAAACTTTTTGATCAACCTAATACCTTTCTGTGAATACCTTTTCGCTGTTCCGCAGACATAGGTCCACTCTCGAAAGCTTCCTATTTCCTGTCACATAGGAGGCATCAATAATACGGGAATATGCATTAGTTGGATAAGTGTCGTGGCTTCCATCCCACTGTTTATCCTGAAAAAAGTTCAGGTTAGGGCACCAATTAAGCCATGTTGTCGCCAAACGAGGAGGATGGCTCCACGCAGTTGAAAGACGTCTGTTTGAGGTGTTCCAAGCCATTTCTCTTCCACTTTCGCAATTGAAGTCACTCAGCAGTCGCTTTTTTGTTTTTGAATGCCCGAGCTATCTGCAATCACGGGAAAGTCTTAACACGTTGACGACAACGCGGTTTTTACTTTTCGGCCTCGTGGGACACGCGCGCTTTCTTGAACGCCACAAGCGCGGTACGCATACAATTCAAGCCGTCCCACGAAGCGCTTTTTTGGAGATTGGATCGAAAAACCTGGTTTAGAGAGCAATTGTGAAGTAAGTCAATTATTTACTATGGAAAAATCTGGGCTGGCCAACTCTCTTTGCACCAGGGTTTGTCTGTACACCAATTTTTCTATGAAAATAGAGCTTTCTCATTAGGGTTCGGAATACCAGTCACCTATATTTGTTCATCATTAATCAGTGTTGTGATTGTCTGCGTAGTTGCTTCGCAAAGAGTTGAACAGCCAAACTAGTTCAAAGGAGCGAGCAAACCTATTCAAGCTCATTAGGCTCTTTCACAAGAAGTCTTCGCCTAAAATAGTGTCGCCTACCAAATCTATTCATGGACCATGTTGTTGAACGAGTATACTAAGATTGGCCTGGAGAATGCTCATAGGAGAAAAAAATCAGCACTTAGTGAAGAGGTAATGGGATTTGTCTCTTTGACCGCTGCATTCGGTACAATTCGCGGGTCCCACCGGTTTCCCACAAAGCGCGCATCAAACATGGCGCATCACGCCAGCTCGTCAATGTGTTGAAGGCCAGTTGGTACGAAATTTTTTTTTTTTAAATTCCTCAACATGAGTAGGATTTAATACGCCTGGCCAGAAACGGAGATTCAGCCGCACGCGAGCAGCGCTGGCCCCCTTAATGACTTTTCCAAGGGAGGTGCCCTTATAAGGGCCCTATCAAGCCACAACATACCGACGCCCGCCCGCCCACAAATGGACGACCGTTCCTGACGCTCTAATCGATTCATTTGCTAAGCAAATTATGAAGCGAAGGGATTGGTATGAAGCGGCCGTGATGCTGCATGGATATATGAGTACACATATGCAGCCGTACCTTCGGTAGCGGTTATTGGCAAGATGCCTACAGGAAACTCGTCCAAAATTGATTCTAACACATTGAGAACGGAGGCTCTTTCTTCGCAGGATTTTGACCGTTTCACTCCGTTCTTTCGCCATTTCCCCACTATATAGCGCCCTACTAGCATTTTAGGCCGAGCACCAAATCATCGTGCCAACTGCCTTTAAGTCCTATCCGAACTTGTGGAACACCATCCATTTAATGTTTATGTAGGGAAGCCTACATTCAAGTTTTTTGTTTCGGCATTTGTACCCTCCATATCATAGAGATAGGACATAGTTGGGCGTGGCTGCGCGCTTCTTTCTAACCTACGGCTACTGCGCTTCATGTGTAATATTATCGTTTCGATGCAACTGTACTCATGTCCTGGTCCAGTACGCTGCAGAATGACAGTTGACAAGCGCAACTTCACGTCTTTTTTTGCTTTCATTTATTCGAAAAAGTTCTTCCGAGAAGACCCTACTCTTTCGATAGGGTGGCCTCATGCAATGCGCAATGAGTAGGCAGTTAGGACCTCAACAAAACTGATGGAGTGATGAAGCTTCCTCTACAGTTACCTTTGATCACCCTCCATCTTACTTTAAAACATTCTCTAGAATTTGGTCCAATCCTAACTCATAAGAAAATTAGTTAGTACGTAAGAATTTCAGGAAGGAAAAGATATGAGCCACTGTTCGTTACAAAGTGGAGTCAGTGTTGGCGTCATCTGTGAAGAGGAAGTCTTTGAGTGAAGTGAGCGTTATCGAACCTACGCTTCTTCGTTTTATGAGTTGTGAACATTTCCATGGCAGACCCAAAAATGCACATATGTGCGCACCACCCATAAATTCATCATTGCAGATAGTTTAAAGTCTTGGTAAAACTGTGGCGACTGCTTATTTATGTATAGCAAGTTCAGATTAGATCGCGCTGCGCCGGCGGTGCACTGCCGCGCATTGAAAACTGCACAGAAGCAGTTCTACTTTATGTTCTTTTCTTACGGTAGTCAATTTCTTTATTTTTACTTTTCTTCATTCTACCATGAATCTCTTTCTCTTTTTTACTTTGAAGGCACTTCCGTATACATTCACAGCGTAATACAGCTTCAAAAGGAGATTGCCTGTGAATAGCCTGACTTATTGAGAGAAAGAACCCCGAAAAGCGCCCGCAATATAACCCTCTTAATTTCAATAATCGTTGATCACTGCGACGAGCGCAGTGGTCAAGATAATTGTAGATGGCAAAACGGGCCGCGTACACTGGCAAGACGAGAGGGGAGGCCACAGAAAATTGGCTGGGCGAGAGAGCGCAATGGCAAACTATCGACAACGACCGTCAGTGGAGGCTCGGCATGGGCCTACGGGCGCCAATGGCGCCAAACAGTGAGGTCGTGTGATTCTGCTTACTGGTTTTTTCCAATTTTAAAAAGCGATTTGGCCTCTGACAGTAGCCTGCTTGGCCTCGTGCATGGTGGTTATTGAGGACCTAGCCTCGGCGAAACCAATTTATCGCGGAGTGCCTTTAACATTGAATTTATAATGTAGTTTTTGATCTAGAGGACACTTGTGTGGTAATGATTTTATATATCGGTTGTCGACTTAATTATTCGGTCTCAGGCGCGTTGCTAGAATTGGTTGTCGTTGATGTCTTGCAGTGCGATGCATTCATGTTGATCACCGATACAGAAAATTGAAATTGGAAAACGCCCATATACAAAAAGCATTATCATTTTTGTACTATAAAAACACTATGAAATTCAATGTAAGGAAAGAAAAATAGGAGCTAATAATCAAGTAGAAATGAGAAACAGTGAAAAAGGGATTGAATACCAGAAGAAAGAACAAGGGAAGCTGGGTTCTGGTACAGTTGCCATGGCGGCAGTTGCATCGCGGCACTAGTTGCGGGCACAAGTCTGAACGCTGCCTAAGCTGGTTTTCTCCATTCATTCGGAGTCGCCAACCGATGTGGACATTTAAGTCCCCGAGACGAGATAATGTTTGCGTGGACTTTCGGATCGACGCGGCCAGGTATTTGGGAGAGATCAGTGATTTCTGGGAAAATTGGGGAATCCCTGCCAAGCAAGCCGTTTCGGTTGATAGAAATTGGCAAGTTCTTAAAGACACATAGTACAACAAAGACACATGGCACAGAGTTCTCAACAATTGGTGTATGTGACTAGCAACCCCCAGCTGTCGAAGCACAGCGGTTAGGAATGGAGATACAGGACCGTGAAACACGCTAGTTCGTCCATGCTCCGCCCAATGCCTTTTTGCGGCGCAGATTCCCGTCCTTCATAACATCCGTCGTAAGCGCGCGTGTCGCGTGCGGCTCCTTGGCACTTTGCCAAGTCCTTTAATTGCGCTTTCAAATACAAGTAAAACGCAATTTCCTGATGCGGATAACATTGGGAGGAGGTGCTGCAAAATAAGAAACAGGAGATGATGACGAGGGTCAGAACTTGAAAAGCAACTGTGCCACTTCTGCAACATCCCTCGGAGGCCGCGTATGTCCACGAAACATGAAAATAAAAACGGCATACTCGTTAGTTTAATACAAGCAAAACGCAATTTCCTGATGCGAATAAAATTTGAGGTGTTGCTCATGCTTCAAATCATGTACAAGCGACATGAAGATGACATAGGCTATGAATGAAGCACAACGATGTTAATGTAAATAAAGCAAAAATGAAAAAAACAAGGAAAGGCAAATTAGTTAAAATCGCCTGTAAATTTCTACGATCCGGCGCGAATCCGGCGCCAAAGCCATAGAAATACTTAGAACAAACGAGTGAGACGCTTGGGCTGTTTTTATTCTCATGTTTTGTGGGAATGCGCGGCCTCTGATGGATACTGCAGATGCAGCCGAGTTGCTCTTGAGTTCTGGCCCTCGTCATCATCTTCTGTTCTTATTTTGTAGCACCTCCAATGTTATCCGCATCAGGAAATTGCGTTTTACTTGTATTTGAGAGCGCAATTAAAGGACTTGGCAAAGTGCCAAGGAGCCGCACGCGACACGCGCGCTTACGACGGATGTTATGAAGGACGGGAATCTGCGCCGCAAAAAGGTATAAGGCGGAGCATGGAGGAATTAGCGTGTTTCATTGGTCCTGCTATCGCATACCTGTGGCATGTTTGGCGGAACCACGACACATCGACATCGGGGGGTGATGGTCTATCTACCACAATTGTTTTTTCAGGTACCATTGAGTCTTTGAGCCTGACAGCACGAGCTTCGCTAAAATACCGTGTGGGACTATCCTTAAGAGTCAACACTCACTTTGTAATTTCTTTCTTGACGGGGCTAACTGTAGTGACACGAAATCGAGGAAATGAAAATTGAATTCCAATAAAATGTGATGAGGAATGCGACTTCGCAATTTGTATACTTGCTTTGTTAAGGGTAAAATCGTGGTTGCCCACAAGCACGAATCGAAACTTCCGATTGGACCAGAAGACAGTCTGCACTGGCGCACGGTGAGTTGAGTGAATGGAACATGTTATTTACAAAGTCTCAAAGCTGAGGGGTCTTATTGAAGGCCTTTTCGGCTACTTTTCTTTGTACTGAATTACTTAGCAACTCAAAGGCAGTAGGCACGATGGCTGGGGTGGGCGGTTACTGCCAATGTTACTGGTGAAAGGGCTACGAGGGCGCATTTGGCCCAACCTACTCAGCCCTTCCACCATTGATGTTGGCAGTAACCACTTGTTCCTAACCATCGTGCTTATGGTTAGCGCCTTTAATTCAAGCCCGCTACGCTCATTTTGTAGTCATGAACACACATTTAAGCGGTGAGACAGCCGACTTTTACCCATACTGCGCTTTATTCAAAGTAATGACAAAATGCAAATATCCAGTAGTAGTGAACGATTCCCGTCCGAGACCTGAACGATCACTGTTTTGCTTCAGCTTCGGCATCTGGATCACGAGAATCTGAATCGATTCATAGGGGTATGTCGAGATGGACCCCAGATGCTTTCTATATGGAAATACTGGTCACGTGGAAGTATTGATGACGTGATCGTGAAGTATTCATCAAGAATCGATGGATTTTTTGTGTTTGCATTCATCGAAGACATGTCACATGTGAGTAGTTTCTCAAAGAAGTGGTCCGCGATGTCCAAGTGATAATGTAAAAGATTGTGTGGAAAATGTGATATGGTTAGCCACATATGTACAACCTTGTGCGATGGTGAAAAGTATCCAACTAAGCCGAAAGTGCTAAGGGTCAAAGTTTACAAGTGACACATCCTTTGTCCAGTGATTCCGCCTCCAACTGTTCCTTCGATGTCCGCTCTGCGAGACTACCAAACTAGTAGCAGGAAATGAGTGTGGGCACTGCACCGAATCGAAGAAATCAACACATCCGCGAACATCTGCCACAGGGCTGCAAATGCCGCCCGCGTCCATGGCTCTCGTGGTGGGAACGTAGCTCAAAAACAGACAAGGTGCATTGAATAACAAGCCGGAACAACTCCACACTGTGAATTCGGAGAATCCCTGTCGAGCAATATTCTCACGAATCGTTCCAAATGGGAACGAAACCGCCGGCTTCCATTCTGATATCAAAATGTTTGCAAGTAGAAGGGTCGGGGGACGTGCTTACAACTTCTCCCAGACAGTTCTTTTCCGTCAAAAGCTTTAGAGGACTAGATGGATTTTCGATACTACTTCAAAATCTATACTTCTTTTGAAAAATCGGCCACTTCAAAAAGGATTACCCTTCAATGGGTTTTGCTAGTTTTCCTTATTTTCTAGCGAAAATTAGTTGCTCGTGAAGTGTGTATAAATCCGTTTTCGATAAACCATTATTAATAATGGGCATTTAAGGCATTCCTACTCTCACCGCTCTTCCACTGAAGTTTCACTGGCTTCCTCCAATCGAGAGAATTGCTAGTTGGCGACCACTGGTAAAAGTGAATGAATATCCGACTACGGCTTGAACAGGGTACAACTTCATGATAAGCTGATCGCAGAAGGTAGGCACTCACGTTGTCAATTCATTCTGATTATTGATGGGACCATTTCTTTACCATGGGCATCCTTGGGCTTGCATGGAAGCTTGCAACCACCGTCAAGTCCATTCTCCCAGACAGGGTTGTCGCTGTTGTCGAGATCACTGAATGTAGGTCAAGCATAAATTTCAGCCATGAATGAGGGACTGAGGAATTACCAACCTTCTATGGTTTCGTCATTTCAACAGCGCCGTTGAATTTTGTAAAAGTGCTATTTCAAGCAAGTTTACCCTTTTCCGAATGATTATAGCAAGAAAGGTCTTCCGGCTCAGGCTAAAATGCAGACGAAGGACCGAATAGCGGCAGCCTCGGACCCGGAAGCTTTGATGTGAATGGCCATCCATAAGACGTGGGCGGAGCCGCCAGTGAGGGCGAGGTACCGTAACGCGACGCACGCAACGCGTGCTCCCATCAACGAGCGATAACCCTGCCGTGGCAGCTTTGAGAGATATCGCAGTCTAAGGAACCTGATGACCAATGCTGACGCACAACTCCATTTGTAACAGAACTCCGAGCCTCAGCAATAGTGATGGAAGGAACGGGATGTAAAGTAAGAAGGTCACGCTGGTAAACGTCAACTGCTCGAAAATCAATTCTCATTCAATGGACCAATCCATTACACTTAGTGGTCTCAGCACTCCGCATTTTACAAAAATAACGTGGGAACGGCACACCCTGTCATCTTGCAGGCAGGAGTCAAGTCTCCGAATCACATTCCGCCCTGGCGGACAGGGATGCAATGATAAAAAAACACTTTCTCTCCTGTGACATTTCAAGGCCCTATAAGTTACACTGTATCAACTCTGATGGACCCCTCTTCACCATCATATCACAACACATCGTACACTATCACGATACTCCGCCGAGCTTCTAGACGAACGCTATCGAGAGGTTCTGCCACACGACCGTGATTCGGTGCCCGAGTCAACGAGGTCGTTGATTTTCCCGCCACTGTAGACCATGCTGTTGACTCCGCTCGGACCCGGTAATCGAGCGGTTGTCAGGTCCGGTGTGACACACCTAGATTTTCGTCTTCTTCAGGTACTCAACGCCCTTCGATTCCAAGTAGGCGAGAGTTTTTCCAACGCCCTTCGATTCCATGTGGTGACACCCAATCCTGTAGCAGTACGAAGTTTCCAAGGTGGTACAGGCGACGACATAAAGGCAGGATATTCTTCTCGAGTTGGTCGATGTAACCATCAGCGTTCATTGCCAGTCCTGGGTCCACGAAGAAAATATCGGTCTTCCCATTCCAGAACATTGAACGACTACGGTGGAGATGACATCCTGAGCCGTATCGATTTGTCGGAGCTGCTCGATGTAGATCTTCCAGATCGAGAGTGCCGGCTTTCTTGCCCCCCTCCCTGTACAATACAGCAGCTTTAAATAATCACAACGATTTCAAATGGATGTGGCGCATTACCAAAGATAATTGATCGTTGGTTGAATTGAGCGTCGAAAGCTGTATTAGTGATCCTTCATTATAAGTACAGTGAACCTGTTGCAGATCTACTGTGGACATCCCCCGAGAATTTGCGAAGTGGTAACTTCGCTGGATCACAAGAGGGTGACGTATACAGGTAAGTGCTAGCGAAAAAGATATCTTGCACCAGCAGGAACGTATTATTTACATCGTTTATTGTGCTTGTTAGCTTCCACAAATAGGGAAAACTCAAGAATTAGACTTAAAATTAGACAATAGAAACCCTATGGAACTCTCAACTTTTGTTTTAGTTTCGCGATCATTTCTTCGCAACTCGTTACAAAGGCAAAAGCATGGGATCTGAACCACAGAAAAGAGGATGCTGAAGGTAAGTCACGGTTGAAAAATCATAGACTGATTCCAATAAGTGATTAATAAAGTACAGCAATGGCTGCATGGTTTGGGGTCTCAGTCGGCAGATACGAGTCTTGAAAAAGACAGCGCTGAGACCATTTCTGAAGTCATGCGTGTGGCTGAGAGGTAGAGTCCCTCCGTCAATAAAAAGTGTGGGTCCATATCTGTATTGGGTGTGCCACCTTCACCGTTCAGCACTTCGATTGTCGATTGTCACAAGGCTTTGTCCTACCAAGACTGAAATGGCACGCCGGGTTGCGCTTTTTGCGTTTTTGTCGCCCTTACACGTGCGCTGTATACTCTGTCGCTCGCGTTGCCTCCTCTATTGCCCAAGTTCCAAGCGTGGGTGCGTTCCTTTTATCCTTTTTTCTGATGCTGAAAACGGAGTGCCTTATTTAGGGTAGTGCCGGCACCTTCTTGTGCTCTGTTCTTCCCAGCTGAGTCAACTGACACCCACAAATCCATGGTAGAATTCCACCGTACCCGAACTGCAATGACGGAATGTGTCTTTAAGTCCGCATCCAGTCGATGAGAGCGTGCCATCCTCTGAGTGGATAATACGGAACCCGATCGGCACGATCTGAAGTGAGGAGAACGACTGCGGTAACAGTTACAAAGGGTCAGCTGCAGTCAGTGAACCATACTAAAACGTACTGTCAGGAGGGCGCACTTTGGTGAAGAGAGCACTTAAAGGCAAAGCCCGGGACCACAGATGGAGAGTAATGGGGCTCACATACGAATGAAGACCCAGTGAGCTGATGAATAAGGAGGAGAAAACATAGTAAAATCCTTGGAATGTCCTTTATAGGACCCCGTGCCGAACTGAGGTTGGACGTGCAAAGCACGGAGAGAAGGCGTGGCCTGGACGAGTTCTCCAAGGTGCTCCATTGAGCGCCATCTCTAGGTTGGCTTGGGCAATTTGCCAATACATTGTGGCGTGATTGCGTACGACGTGCGACTACCTTATTCTACGTCTAGTTTCCTTTTCCTACCAATAGGGTGGTGGCGATGCTACCTAGACGGAGTTGTAACGGTCTGAGAGCTAGGTGGAACAGAGTTGTTACCGCAGTGGTAACAACATGAACCAGGCCTCTCCTTGCCTTGGACGTAGAAGGTTGGTTCGGCATGGGATCTTACCCAGGGCATTTCCAACGGATTTTTTTTCCTGCTCAAACTTATTAGTGATATATGTTTACCTTGTCATTCACATATCATGGCCACTACTTACAACTCGTGATCGCGAGACTTGTCCCCCTGTACCCTGATCTTCCATATTCACTGCGATAAAAATTCGACGACAAAACGTATTAATTCACAATAAATTCTTTATTGAGGAAGCAAACCAGAAGGCTTAAATCAACGTTTCTTCTAATGTCCTCTTCCTAAAGTGCTGAAGGAAAGAGTCCTTGCATTAAAAACCATGAAGGCGCCATCCAGCTGTCAAATCAACTTAGGATTAAGAACACAGACTTACTGAACGAAATGTTGGAATATCACCTTAATAAGGGATACGGAGTTGCAAATTTAGGGAGTAGAAATAGGAAAAATGAGAGTCGATGAGCATGTCCTAAGCGGAAACTAAGTACATATCCAAGCACACGAGAAACCTAGACATGCGTCCAACAAATAGCAAGGCACAACTGTAAGGAAAAAAACAAGAAAACCACAAAGACAACAACAATATAGAAATGAAGAACATGAAAACAGGTCTGTGTGCTGTATGAGCAGACGAGGTCCGCGGTCCTCACGCTGAGCTAAAATGAAGCGAATTCATAAACAAGTCCAGTCATTTCGTAAAACGCATCGAGTATTCACATGTAACCCTTGTTTTCTATGCAGTCAAGAGTACCCACCGATGCATTCCAGCAGACGTCCTAGTGAAAACGGTTGGATTTGCTACCTTCTTCCAAGACGAGGATATGCCAGTGTTTTCGGTTTCCCTACAATGAACAAATAAATAAAGCGAAGAATGCATTTGCATGCAGGTTTCATTTTTGACCCCATGGACGAGCATCGAACTAATACGCTACTGAGTACTTACTGGAGTGTCTTATTCACTGAGATTCATGCCAGGGATGTGAAACGTTAGAGGTAATAAAGTGCTTAATTATCATAAACAAGCATCACCCTCAGTTGATGTCAGACGGTGAAAGGTGGTGGATGGGTTGGGGTGCGAAAACTTGTTGTCAAAAACTCACCGCTGTAAACTGTTAGTAACTCAAGAATTAGTAGGAAGACATCACAATCTTATGGAGCGGAAGATATCTGTCGAATAGCATAGAGCACATCGGGAAACACTTTCACATTTCGCATAGAAATTTGGGCAAGGAAATACTAATTACTGGTTAGCCAACCTAATAGGATTGGTGGCAGCCGAGAGGGGGCCGCGTGTACTCACCTCCTGCTTCAAATCATGGATAGTGAAAGGTAATAAAATGTGAAACGATGATATGTAGTCAATAGAAATTAGTCCGTCCACCAACTTTCACGCGTCTGACATCAGTTGAGGGTAATGCTTGTTTATAATGAGGAAGCACTTTATTACCTTTAACGTTTCACAGGAACAGGAGAAGACTGCGTTCATAGCTTGCGACAGTTGCGAAATGAAGGAATGCAGAATTGACGAAAAGCACAGTATTTCTGCATTGCGTACTATCGCAAGCTATGAACGCGGCCTAAAGAGTACAACGTTGGGGAGTGTTCCCAGTTCTCATCAGCGTTTTGAGCAGCAACAGAAATACAGGCGTCGATCCAGCGTTTTTCAAAATGCTCCATTGTTGCTGTTTTCAAAATTATTCGAAATGCTGCATACGTATGCATTCCAAGTCCCTCAAAACGGTGCCGTACGCTCGACGCCGATGAAAATTATGAACACATTAGTACGTAGTTCTACAAAAAGACACAAAAAACACATCCACGCAAAAAAACGAAGAAAACACCCACTACTTTACGAAAGATTCCTCAAGAAATGTCATTCAAAAACACGTCAGCATGTATGAAAGTAAAGTAAAAACAAGTAAACACTTATAAAAGTCACACTGAAACTAGGTGTCCTAATTGAAGTGATAATGAAAATGAGAATTATTCATTGCTTACCGTATCGAAATCCCATCATATTGGGTGGCGCAGCCGTACTGGACATAGCCGATTGCCGCCGATTGTACCACCGATGTGCCGATTTATGACTTCTGAAAATGAATAAGTTCACCGGAAGGTGGTATTTAATGAGATAAGGCTTTTAAATCTGAAAAGTGAAAAAGTACGAAGAATCAATAGTAACCCAATGAATGAGGACTGAATGATCGTCTATGCTTGGGAGGGGAAGAACTTTAGGGTGAATGATCACATTCCTTTCCGCAAAAGTGACACTTTAACACATTGAACAACACTTAAAGGGATGCGTGGTTCGAAACCAAACAAAATTTTTTTGCATATCCCGCGTCTCTCCCAATTCCGCAGCATTTGCAAAAATTGCGAAATACAGCACAAGAAAGTGATACTGATCAATGGGTTTGTTCCTGCCGTTGTGCGGAATTGGGAGAAATACAGGACTTGCAAACACAACTCGTCATTTCTCCATCATGTATGAACGCGACCTAAGGGCTTCTGGGAGGTGGACGGAGGTGTTGCACAAAATGTTCACGGGTCAACCAACCTCCAGTAAGATGAAATGAGAAAAAAAACAAAAAGCCAAGACGAACCTTTCACAGATTGACTCAGGCGTCCGCTTCCTTTTCTTCTGCGCTCAGGGGGAACAGTGCAGCATGGAGGTCTTCACAAACGGCCCTATCGACTATAACATGAACCTAAAACATGAACTGAATTGAATAAGCACATTAGTAAACACAAAAAAACTAGAAATAAACGAACATTGACGAATTCCACAAATCAATGTAAGCAAATCTTTTAATGCACACGCGACTGTTGAGAATTGGGATGGAAAAGGAGATAGAGGAACAAAGAAGGTGACAAAAATACCGTTTATGTCGACCGATATAATAAGCGAAAAAGCAAAAAAATGAGGATGGCAGGGCACCTATCAGCTGTTCGGCGCAATAATCCCAACGAGATTCCTAGCAACGCAAGCTCGGAGTTCAGCGCTCACTCTCGGTGCGACGTCACATTGGGCATGGGCCTTCGCGGGTTGCCATGGGCCTAAGGGGTGCCAATGGGCCTATTTGCCCAGCTTCTACGGGAAAACCTGCTTTTTTGACTTTTTAGGTGTGCCACAGCCCCTACAATCGCCTGAGGGATCATTCTGGCACATTTTAAAGCCTATGGCCTTAGTTTATCGCGGAAAGTGCCTTTAAGTCATCATTGCGGACCGGTGGGGCGTGTCAGCCAGAAGGAGTGCGCACACTGTTGAAGCCGTTCTCAGCCTTTTTGTTGAAACGCGTATGCGACAAAAAGTGGTAGAAAACGAGTAATACGAAGGATATAATACAGTAATGCACTTGCCCGCTTCAAAAACTGGTGCAGAACGATTTTGCCAAACCGCACCAAACGCAGCCGCACTGCCACGCCCCACCGGTCCGCAATGATGAGGACTGTACAAACTAATGCGCCCTTTTTCAGGATTCATGGAAGTTGGAAGTGTATAGCAACTTCGGTGGAGAATGTCGTAGCACGGAAATGCAGTACTTGTACCCAGAACCCCAGATAACCCTAGTTCGCAAGTTTATGTCGACTCTCATAAAAAGGCAACAGCACCAAGTTGGCGCTCAAAGGCGCGAGCATCGAAAATGAGTGTCATCTTCATGATCAGGGTATCGAACAACACCAGCATACCAAGTTTCAGTAGAAATTCCGAGTTTTCGGAGTTAGAGTAGTGAATAGTACAAAATTCATTGGATATTAC